TTCATTTTGTAGCAACTAAAATGAAACATGGTAGAAGTTTGTTTTGCGAGGAAAGATTCAAAGTTGTTGAGATTCCTTTTGATTTGATCAAGTTTGATAGCACAAACGTTGGAGAAAATTATGATTAGATCTGATTTTTGGCAAATAGATTCATTATGGAGACTAATAAATAAAAGATTTCAAGACAAAGTTTAGAAGGTTTGCCCCTCTCAACAACATCAACAATTCAATATGTGTTAGTCCAACACTAGTTTAGTTCATAGATAACTCATATATCGACTTTGCAACTTCTTGTTAGTGTAGAAGAAGTTCAACTCCCTTACTAGGTTCTTTATTTTTGTTGTTTTTGGTTAAGTCAGCTCTAACCATTAAATTTAATATAGTTGTTCTTTTTTTGCCAGCACATTTCGAAATTCTATCTAGTTGTCAAGTTTTAGACTTGCTTTGTTAGGAAATTTATGTTTTAACCTTCAGTTATAATTAATTTTTCTTAAGTTTTCAAGTAAATATCTTAGTTTTCTTTCATTTCTTTTGGTAGCTAGTTCTATCCATTTCTATCAGCTTTGATTTACATTTCTATCAACACTCTTAGTTTTCAATTCTAGCTAAGTTTTAAGATTTGTGTTGCATTCTTTAGTTTAATGTTCTCTTGTTACCTTTTCTTTAGTTATCCTTTATTTTTGCCATGCACTCTTTTCTCTCTCTTTCTTATTTTTGCCTATTTTGCCTAATAAACTAACTTTATTGTGGCCCTAGATGTGAGAAGTCCCTCATGTTCTTCCATGACAATTATTTTTGAACCTCCATACAAGATTATAGCTCTATTTCTACTACAATCGTCTAGTCAAGGTATTATTAGCATAATCATTCAATCAAATGGTGTTCTTTCATCAACTTTTAGATAAATTTTTACTCTTGAAAGAATTGAGGATCATTAAAAATCTTTCTTTCTTACTTTGAGCAAAGCAAGTGTCATGCCTAAACACTTTTGCAACGAGTCATTGAGAGGAGAGGATTTCAAAGGAAATACAAATATACTATTAACATGTACTCTAAGAGCATAAGATAAGAAAACCCTATGAATAAATCATCTTTGAAAGCAACCCCAAGCATTGTATTTGTAAGCAAGCAAGTGTTGTTTTAGTAGTTAGATTTAGGGTATAAGTTTTGGGATTAGCATCCAAGAAAATTAATTTTTTTGAATGTATCATGTCGTGTAAGGGGTGCACGTTTAAACACCCAAAGAGTAATTAGTTTCGAGATTTGTGAAAACTAATTTGAGACACTTTGACAGTAAATAAAAAGAGAAATTTTTAACATATGCCTTAAAGACAGATTAAGTCTTATTAATTATGGTATTTATAATTAATTTTATATAAATTTTTATATTATATTTAAATAAAATAAAATATAAAATTAAAATAAGTATAATGTATATACTCAAATTTTATTAAAAAATATAAATTTAGCATAAAAATTTATATAAAATTAATTATAAATATTGTAATTAATAAAATTTAATTTGTGCAATAACAAACCCAATAAAAAAAAACACCTTTGAAAACAAAATAACTAATTTTTTTGGAATAAAATAGCATTAATTGGCAGTGGAACAAAATCGGTGGTGATTGGTTTGAGGTGGCCAAAAGAAATTAAAAAAGAGACAACCGGTTGACCATTCATCTCATTCAAAGGGGGATGACACGCGGAGAAATCTTGAAGCAGCTGTCACAAGGAGGGTGCTGGAGGAAGTGCTCGTAGCACCGCACTCATTTACAGGGACGTTCACCTAACTGTTCACTGTGGGACCCAGTCTTTTTGGACCTCCAGAATAGTAGTCCCTGACCCAATCTTGGCTGCCGTGGAGTGTGGTCCTGATTTTTTGATAAAGTGGCTGAACAACCCCGCGTTGCGGGTGTAGTGTTGGGTCCAACTTGAAAGTTTTGATCGTGGCCTCGTGGGCCAGCATCGCAAATAAATTGTGTAACATAATATTACAAGAAGAAATAATAGGATTATATGATAGATTATATGGCACCCTCACAGAACTCAATATTATAGAATCTACATAAAACTTTTCAAATCTTATAATTAGTTTTTATTTACCAGTTAAATTTTAACAATCATGACATATCATTTAAGTCGACAATCTTCATGCGATTTGACAAAGGAATAATCTGTAAACAAAATCACTTTTGTTTTTCCCTTGAATTTTGACCTTCCCCATTCTTTGTCAGACACATTTCCCAGCCTATGGTACATTCAATGACAGATGCATCAATAGGAGAAAAAAAGAGAAAAAAGGCATACCGTCTGCATCTGTAGCCACAGCAGCTACATTTGACTGAATTGAACTCTTAATTTGCTCAATGTTTTCCTCTACTATCACAACTTAAGGTGTGCTAACAAATCTTATAAATCTGTTAAAAATTATAAAGAGTCTCAAAAGCATAAATTAAAAAGAAAACCTAATTATAAATGATCTACAAATTCATAATAAAGTTGTCATGAGATTAAATTTTAGTGACTGCAGTTAATTTAAAAGGCAAATCTATAACTTTGTTATTGTAAATATCTTCCCTTTCTTTGCATAAATAGTAAAGGTCATTCTATGCAAATATGACTCCAAAACAACCTATCAAGCCAATGACTTGTCTATACACCCATGATTGAATTTTCCTCTGTACCCTACCTTGGGTAAATCAGGATTAATCTAAACATAATAGATGTAAGTTATGGAGTACCCTCCTCTAGAAATAAGATCTTTGGCACTTTCTACCTTCTAACTTCTAACGATGCCAATTTCTCACTCCCCTTGCCTACAAAAATAGCACATCACACTTATAAATTCACAAAAAAAAAAAAAAAAAAAAATCCAACCATCAAAATCAATAACCTAATACAAAAACATAAATCTATGCATTCCGAAAAATGTACACTAAAAGGAAAGACAACAGATTTAGGGAAACAGAAGAAAATTCATACTTGATCAAAAGTGCACCCCCCCCAATAAAAAGGAGTCTTCCATTTTTCTTCTTCTTAAAACCTATATCAGCGGAACAGAGGATAGAGGGAAATAGAGCTCCATAGATCAATAGAGAGAAGTGGGCTTGATCAGTGAAGAAAATCATAGAAATAGAGCCCATAATTTTGGATCTTCTTATTCATGTATCAAAAATAAACGAAGATAGAGTTTTATAGCAGTATATGAGACTGTAATATTTGATCTCCCACCATTAGGTTATGTATTCCATTTAAAAAAAAAAAAAAAAAAAGGAATTAAACACCACTATTGTTAAAAGTTAGCAGGGATCTTTCAACGACTGAAGAAATGCATATCAATTATCCATATCAATAAATGTTAAATTGAATTTTGATCAATATAGAATGATTGCAAACCGCATGAATTGCCTTAACAAAGAGCTTGGGAGAAAAATTCCCCAGGAAAAAAAAATACAAACATGTTGGGATCAGCTTCAATATGCAAAAAAGCAGGCCAAGAGAACAATTTCTAAGGAAATTAAAAATTTACCACATGCCTGGATGAAGGCACATCCTTTCCTTGATAACAGAAGAGATGAATACTTAAAAATTACCAATAATCTCCCCAGTGTTTTTAAACCCAAACCAAAGGTCAACCCATTTTGACCTCAAGATCTGGTCAGGCAAGTTGAATTGGTCAAACCAAATAGTTTTACCAAGAATGTCATAAACAGATTTTTTTATAAATAGTATGTAATAAATAAAATTTTTGGCATGACAAGAGAGTCTCAACCTTAAATTACGTCATTTTATTTAATTAAAATTTAATTTAAAATTTAAAAATTTATTATATTAAATATTAATATTTAGATTTAAAAATGAATTATATTAAAATATATAATTAGTTTCTAAATTTTGGTATTAACATTTAATATGGTGAATTTTTTATTTTAAATTGAGATTTTGATTCCCAAATATAGGTTAGGACTCTAATTTTTATTTAGGGTCATAACCAATATGCACTAACCTCTAAATATATTTTTATGCAAAGCATGGGCTAAGGTATGCATTTTATCCCTATCCTTAATAAATTTGAAGTTTTTAGCGCCTCACCTTACATATTTTATTATGAAGTTTTTAACCCTTGAATTTAAAGGTTTGAAGATTTTAGCTTATAAATTAACAGAATTCATTAATTCTTTGTTAAAGTGAAAATAAAATATTTATAAGATCAATTTTAAAAACTAAAAATATAATAATTTAATTTCAAAAGCTTAAAAATTAGTAAACTAAAACTAATTAGTAAATGTGTTTGTCGCATACACGAGAACAGTATTAGATATTTATAATTAAATTGAGTGATTAACTCAATTTAAGAAAAAAATATGACTAAGATTAAAGAAAATTTTTTGGCTTGATTTTTTAAGTCTCTTGGACTTTCTGTCTTAACTCAGTTAAATTTTTTTTTTTAATTTCAATTAGAATTCTTTATTCAAATTGAGCTAATCACATGATTTGTTATAGATATCTAATATTATTTTAGTGTATGTGAGAAAATTATCTATTAATTCTTTTTAGTTCATTAATTTTTTTTAGTTTCTAAACTTTTGAAACTAAATTGTTACATTTTTAATATTTGAGAACTAATCTTGTTAATATTTTTTTTTTTATTTTAATAGAGAGTTAATAAATTCTGTTAGTCTAATTAAAGGCTAAAATCTTTAAATTTTTAAGTTTAAGAGCTAAAGATTTCATATCACAAGGTGTGGGACTAAAAACTTCAAATTGTAAGAGGCTAAACATATACTTCAGCTCAAAGCATGTCGTCAAAACCATGAAATTTAACTGGCAAAGCACTTAGACTTCGATCCTTAGGGCTCGCGTTCACCATCCAACAACACCTTACTTCCTTTTCTTCATTTAAGATGAACCAGTGGGTTCATCGAGTTGCCAATTTTTTAGTTTCACTAGGTCACACTGTTTTTATCCGGGCCAACTACATAAACAGGTTTGTATGTTCACCTGAACCATATTTATAACCAAACATCGTTCAACCAGTTCAACCAGTTAGGCCGGGCTAGGTTTGAAAACAGTGAATCTCCCATCCTAAGTAGAAATAAAGGAAAGTCAGTGAGAAACATAAAAATTACAAAGAAAAAAAAAAAAAAAGAATGCAAAATCTCTATGCTTACCTTACCTTTGATTCACTTGACAGATCTAACTTATTTTTCTCCTCCACTACCATCCTCGCCAATATGACAACTATTCCAACTATCACTTTGTCATCAAGCTTCGATTTGCTAGAAAATATTCAATATATATTGACAATAAGACAGAGTAGAAAAAAGTAATGCTACAACAAGATAAATAAAAATTACACTATTAGGAACTCTTAATTAAATAAATTTTACTCATCTAAGCAGTATCTAAAGAAAGCCATATTATAGCTTTTAATCATAAACAAAATGAATGTCTATGAAAATTTACCTAACAATTTTGTATAAACCCTTTTGTTTTTCTTTCTTCCCAAACGATTTTCAATTTCAAAACTCAATCATTTCAAACTATCTTACCACCAATCTCAATGTTCTATCTCAAGCTATGGCACTCGCCAGCTGAGACTCAACCACCATCAACCAAAGTCACTCCTCTCCCCAAAATCCAAACCGTCAAATGCCATAACCAAAATACTCAAATTCACCCCTAAAGTATAGGGGTCGGACAGATCTATCCCAAACAAAAAACTAAGATAAATCCATCCATAAAATTTGATTTATACAAATCACTCTAAATTTAACGTGTAATATCATCTGATATTAATAATTTGTTTAAAATAAATTTATTAACGATATAATAAATTAATAAATTGTTAACGTCAAATAATATCACACATTAAATTTGAGATGATTTATCTAAATCACAAACTTTGTGAGTAAATTTATTTTTATTTTTATTTATTTATTTATTTATTTATTTGTTAAGGGTGGATGTATCCTGCCACCTAACTTTTGTGATAGATTTGGGCATTCTGCCAATGTGATTCCCACTGCTTCACTGAGGAATGCACTTCGACTTGCATCCTCCGTGCCTAGGAATGCTACCAGGGTCGCTAGATTTGCGGCCTTTGTATCGAGGCCGTCAAGGACATGGTGTAGAGATCGCACATAGCCATCTCCACTGAGGAAGCACTGGACAGACACATCAGCTTCTACGAAGAGCTCAGGGCCTCTTCTCCCACTACCAAAACAGAGCACCCAATCATTGCCATCAGTAGGCTTCTCCATAGCAGACTCTATATATTACAAAAATTTGAAAAAAAAATGGATAAAAAAAAAAAGAGTTTTACCTAATAAACTCAAATTTGGAAAATCAGCCATCATGAGACTTTCTCTCTTTCTCTTCCTCGACTATGACCAGTCTTCCTAAACCCACGATCTTCCTCTTCCAATCTTTTCTCCAACTGTTACCTATTGCCCATCCCCGTTATCTCTTCCCTTTTCTCATCTTCTCTTCTCACCTCCAACCTACACCCACCACTCAAGATTTTCTTCGTCTGACTCCCATGCCTAGATCTAATCATGGTAGATCTACCTACTTCTTTCTTCTCTCTTCATTAAACCCCTCCCTCAATCTTCCTCTACCGCTAATAGCAAGAGAGAAATGTGATTGAGATGAGAGAAATAAGCAAGAGATAGGAAATCATCAAATTTGAAATCTGAAAGGAAATGGAGGGTTTGGTGCTCAAATCTCAGCAGAGCTAACAAACCCAAAACACCAAAAGTCAACTCAAACTGTAGAACCCAACTTTCCCTTTCGATGACCGACGGCCAGCGACCAAATTTTGTGAGAATCAATTAATCGTAGAAAAGGAAATAGATCAGCATAATAGAAACTGTAGAAAGAGGAAGAGTGAAAAGACGCAAAAGAAAGAAATGTGATTGAGATGAGAGAAATAAGCAAGAGATAGGAAATCATCAAATTTGAAGTCTGAAAGGAAATGGAGGGTTTGGTGCTCAAATCTCGGCAGAGCTAACAAACCCAAAACACCAAAAGTCAACTCAAACTGTAGAACCCAACTTTCCCTTTCGATGATCAACGGCCAGCGACCAGATTCTGCGAGATTCAATTAAACATAGAAAAGGAAATAGATCAGCAAAAGAGGAATGCTAGCTGCACTCGCCTTTCTCCAGCACTCTCCAACACTCTCTCATGTAAAATGTCCACGTAACAAACTTTGGCTCGCAATTCAAAGTTTCCAACTAGAAAAGTTCACGTGGCTATTTTAGATGAAGAAGTGTTGGAGAGTGCTGGAGAAAGGCGAGTGCAGCTAGCATTCCTCTCAGCAAAATAGAAACTGTAGAAAGAGGAAGAGTAAAGAGACGCAAAAGCCATATTCCGAGAGAGAAAATGACAAAGAACCAAGGGCAAAACAGAGAAAAAAAATTCTGTGAGAGGGGTAGAGGCAACGGACAAAATAATTAAGATTAAAAAAGACCATAAAGCCAATCTATGAGTGAAAGGTAGAGAGAAACATTGGAGGGCAAAACACGGAAGTGAGAGAAATTTGAGTGTCTGCAAGAGAAAGTAAGAGACTAGCAAGGAGGTGAGCAAATCAAATAAAATAAGTAAATAGGTGGAAGGCCCCTTCTCACACTACTACATTCGTTTTTTTTCCACTTTTGCCCTTCAAGTTTCCTCATCCTATTTCACAAGTCATGAGTGGTTTTTTTTGTCATTTGATACTAGGTCTCCACTTTTGCCCCTAGAAGTTTGTTTCTCCATTTCACCTGCTATGGAGGGCATGTCCGTCATTTCATGACTTCTCTGTTTTACCCTTAGGGCTTTGCTTCTCTTTTTCTCTCTTGGAATATAGCTTTTAGGTCTTTTTACTCTTCATGTTTTTGCAGTGTCTGTGTTGATCTATTTGCTTTTCTGTGTTTGATTAATTCTCGCAAAATCTGGTCTGTGGTCCTTGATCATCAAAAGGGAAAGTTGAATTATGCGATTTGAGCTAACTTTTGGTGTTTTGGGTTTGTTCACTCTATTGAGATTTAAGCACCAAGCCTTCCATCTCCTTTCGAATTTTAAATATGATGATTTCCCATATCTTTGCTCATTTCATATCTAAATTCCAAAAGGAGATGAAGGGTTTGGTGCTCAAATCTCAATAGAGCAAACAAACCCAAAACACCAAAAAGTTAGCTCAAACTACAAAACTCAACTTTCCCTTTTAATGATCGAGGACCATAGACCAGATTTTGCGAGAATCAATCAAACATAGAAAAGGAAATAGATCAACATAGACACTACAAAAACATGAAGAGTAAAAAGACCTAAAAGCCATATTCCAAGAGAGAAAAAGAGAAACAAAGCCCTGAGGGTAAAACAAAGAGGTCACGAAATGATGGACATGCCCCCATAACAGGTGAAATGGAGAAATAAAGTTCTGAGGGAAAAAGTGGAAACCCAGTCTCAAACGACAAAAAACTCACTCATGACTTGTGAAATAGAATGAGGAAACTTGAAGGGCAAAAGTGGAAAAATAAAGATTAATATAGCAATGTCAGAGGGGGGCCTTCCACCCATTTACTTATTTAATTTCCCTTCTTGTTGTTGGTGGTAGAGGAGGATTGTGAAAGGGGTTAAGTAAAGAGAGAAGAAACAAGTAGGTAGATCTACTGTGATTAGATCTAGGCGTGGGAGCCTGATGAGGAAAATTTTGAGTGATGAGGCAAGGCTAGAGGTGAAAAGAGGAGATGAGAAAAGGGAAAAGACAATGTGGATGGGCAATGGATCACAGATGGAGAAAAAATTGGAAGAGGAAGATCGTGGGTTCACGAAGGTTGGTCACAACCAAGGAAGAGAAAAAGAAAGAGACTTGGTGGTGGCTGATTTTCCAAATTTGAGTTTGTTGGGTAAAACTCTTTTTTTATCTTTTTTTTTCTTTGAAATTTTTGTAATATATAGATTTTACGGTGGAGAAACCTGTTGATGGCAATTATTGGGTGCTTGTTTTTGCAGGAGGAGAAGAGGCCTTAAACTCCTTACAAAAGATTATGTGTTGGTCTAGCATTTCCTCAGTGGAGATGCTCATGTGGGATCTCCGCACCATGTCTTTGACAGCCTTGACACAGAGGCTGCAAATTCAATAGCCCTGGTAGCATTCCTAGACATGGAGGAATGTAGGCTGAAGTGCATTCCTCAGTGAAGCAGCAGTAATGGCATTTGATGGATTGGATTTTGGTGGGAAGAGTGACTTTAGTTGACAGTGGCTGAGTCTCTGAGCTGGTGAATGCCATGGCTTGAGATAGAACATTGGAGATTGGTGGTAAGATAGTTTGAAATGATTGAGTTTTGAAATTAAAAATCATCTAGGAAGAACAAAAAAACAAACGTATTTGCACAAAATTGTTGGGTAAATTTTCATTCCTTAGACATATTCGTTTTGTTTATGATTAAAAGCTATGATATGGCTTTAGATATTGTTTAGATGAGTAAAATTCATATAATCAAGAGTTACTAATAATGTAATTTTTATTTATTTTGTTGTAGCATTACTCTTTCCTACTCTATCTTATTATCAGTATATATTGAATATTTTCTAGCAAATAAAAGGTTGATGACAAGCTAAGTGATAGCTGGAATAGTTGTAATTCAGATGAGGATGATAGTGGAGGAGAAAAATAAGTAAGATGTGTTAATTTTGTTGGTGATTTTCTAATTTTCTCCTCCACTAGCTCAAAAACAAAATCTACCCACAACTTAACTAGATTGGGTGCCTCTATTTTACTCTCATCATTCTTTTAACATAGAACTTCTTATTATCATTATTTCCCTTATAAAGTGAGTTATAAGCATGAGGGATGTGAAGAGTAAAGGGTGATTTGGTGAAGAAAATGATTAGTAGACCCCTTAGCAGTCAGGTAAATATCTCACTTGTTTTTTAGTCCAAATTTTTGTCCTTTATGATTGGTCCATTAGATTATTAGCTAGCAAAAAGGTTGTGCACATTTACAGAAGATGGAGTTGGATGAAGTAATTAGAGTAAAAAGAAAGGGTGTTCAATTTTATTTGTTGAGAGGTTTGTTATGGGTTTGTGCATAGATAATGAGGGCAAATTTTGGGAGAGAATCAAATTTTGAATGTGAAGAGAGGAAAATGACCAAATATTAAAAATCTATCACAATCAAGAGGTTTTGTAGTAAACAAAGATATCTCGTTCCAAGCAACTATGAAGGTTAAAAGATTCTTTTTCTCCTTTTTGTTATCCAACAAAAAAAGGTTTGAAGACCATATGAAGAGCAAACAATAGAGCTCCCCCTTAATACAATAACTCATAAAAGCATGAATATACTTATATAACAATCTCATTAAAATCATACTAAGAATGTATAATCATCTATGATTTAAGTCATAAAGATTAATAAAAGATAAATGAAATAGCACAAATGTGATATGCACTTAAGATAAAGTAATATATATGTCCATCATACTCATAAAGACTTTGAAATTGATAAGTTTACCTCCATTATTGTTAGAGCAATTGAATACCTCAATGGAGAGACCATTGCTTGTGCATCTCCTTTGTATGTTCCCTTTGATTGGTGAAGATCTCATCTCTGGGATAATTTCATTTGAAGTTTCAATACATTTAATTATCTCAAGTTTACTTAACATTGCTTTGGAAAATTCTTTGCAACAAAACTCATTAGTAGCACCAAAAACAATGTTAATTCCATCATTAAGTACAACATATATATTTCTTACCCTTGAGATATATTACCATTTATCGCATTACTTTAATAGGATCTCTCTTTTGGGTAGAATTATAACCTTTGTTTTGGTGCTTGTAGCATTTCTTCATTCTTGATCTTCTCACTTGCTTCACATGGAGGTTGTATGATGCTATTGTTTTCAATGTTCATTCTTACCTTTGTTACCCAATAACATCTACAACATAGTTTCACAACTCTTTCTAAAGCAAATGGGGTTAGTCTCATTGAATACCACATGAATAAATTCAACACTATTAATCCTTTTTATGTGCATCATAGCATATGATAGCTAATATAAAAAATCTTATTTATTGAAATCAACTATAAGTATGCAAAGACTAGGTCATAGGATGGAGACTACTAGGGTTCGAGAGAGGGATGCGGCGGCCAGGGCAGACAGCAGCTTCCACCGGCGGCAAGGCTTCAGACGGCGGATTCCAGGTTTCAGCACTCAGTTATCAGGGCAGGTTCAGACATTTTTCTTCTTCAATTTTCCCGAGACGGAGACAGCAAAAAGTCTCTGGTTTTTCTTTCAATGATTCGGCAAGGTAGTGGATGTTTTTCTGCCGAACAAGAGGGACAAGTGGAGGAACAGATTTGGATTTTTTCGACTGGTTAGAGTGCAAAATGTAGCGCAGATGGTGAAACAGCTGAATGAGATCTGGTTTGGGCAGTATAAGTTGAGGGTGAAGATGGCTGATAAACCACGGAAGCGGTTTCCCGAACAGACGAAGGCATCAGGTGTAGAATCTAGGATGCGGAGAATGACTAGATTGGTACAACCAAGCCACTCCTATGCATAGGCGGTTGTGGGGAAGAATATGTGGGTTGAAAAGCAACAGCCACAAGGCATGACAGCAACGGAGAAGGAAGCAGTTAAGAGAATTGAGGATCGGGATATAGTGCAGAGAATTGAGGATCGGGATATAGTGCAGAGGGTATTGGGTGCCGAGAATGAAGGAAAGGGATTGGGTGCAAAGGAAAAGGTACAGGAAAAGAGTATGGGTGCAGATAGAGAACGTATTATTACGTTTGAGCCTACAAAGGAAGAAACTCAATGGCTAGAAGGGGGCATGGTCGCTGTTTTGAATTCTTTAATGTCAGTGACATGTATCCAAGAGAGAATGGATGTGGATGGAGGGCTGCTTGCGTTATTTCCATTAGGGGGAAGTTCAGTGCTGCTTCTTGAAAAGGTGAAGGGCTACCTTGGTGAGTATATGGTGCAGAACAGAGAGTTATTCGATACATGGTTTGAATCTATATTACCATGGGCGTTAGCGTCGACACGAAGTAGTCGATTGGTGTGGCTGCGGATATCTAGTATTCCGTTGAATGCATGGATTGATAGATGTTTCGAAATGATAGGAAGAACGTTCAAGGAGGTGGTGAGGGTGCATGAGGATACCAAATCCAAAGCTGTTTTGAGTGAAGGAAGGGTACTGGTCCTTTGTTCAGCTACACACAGTATTTCGAATGTGTTGAAATTGGAGGTAGTTGGACAGATACATGAGATACAGGTAACGGAGGAGGGATGGAGATCAGACCCAGATTGGTGGGTATCGGAGGGTGAGCGACGGAGTACGACGGAGACATCATCGGAATATTCCTCCTCGCATGTTGATAGTGAGGATCAAAGATTTATTGATGACGAGATTCTCGGCGAAGATGAAGATAACATTGAATTGGAGTTGTTACAAGAGAATGGAGTTTTGAATTCAAAAAGCAAGCAAATTGATGGGGAGTCGTTAACGGGTGGAGATGACGGTCGTAATGAAAATGGGTTGAGGAGTGCTAACGGGTTGCTAGAGGATTATAGGGGGTTGAAGGACAATGGGCTTGTGGATGTTAATGGGCTTGTGGAAGTTAATGGGTCAGGAGAAGAAGATGTAGAAAGCTCTTTTAGTAAGATGTCCAAGGACTCAAAGCAAAAAGGGGCATCACGTGATAAGGTGAGAAAGGCAACAGACTTGTCGGGAAAAAGACATAGAAAAGTGGCAGAGTGCTATCCAGAAGAAATTGCAGAAATTTGGAATGAGAAAGCAGAGTGGGTGACGGGACGAACAAAGGAGCGAAGACTGAGGCGCGAGAAAGCTAAACTGGTGCCAATGGGTGTGAGTAAGCCGGAGCAACAGGGAGAAGAAGAATCTCTTTCGGATGGTTGTATTGCTCATCGGAATCAAGTTATTCAACGGGAGATTAATATGCAAGAGGTAAAGAAAATGATGTGCACTGGAAAGAGGCTTGGAATGCAGTTCGAAGGTACTGAAGAAGAGGTGGTGTCACGGCTGTTGGAGCTGAAAGAGAGAGATGAAAGCAGGAGATAGTGAGGGTAACGTTTTTTGGGTAGCTGTGGGGTAGTGTGGGTGAGGGTCTGCATTTTTTATGAAGGTTTTATCTTTTAATGTTAGGGGTTTGGGGAATATGGTGAAGAGGAGGGAGTTGGGTAGACTAGTTTGGGTAGAAAAACCAAATTTGCTATTCCTACAAGAGACCAAATTAGAAGGGGTTGAAGAGTGTTTGTGTAAAAAGCTATGGTACTCAGATGATTTTGATTGAAATATGAAAAGTTCGGTTGGTGCTTCAGGAGGCTTGATCTGTATGTGGGATAAATCATTATTTGTTAAGTTGGGGGAATTTACAGGAGACGGGTACCTGGGGATAAAAGGGCTGTGGGGGGCGAAAAAGGAGGTATGCTTTTTTGTGAATATTTATGCTCTGAATGATAGGAAGAAAAAAGCTGCATTATGGGATGAGTTGAGGCAGAGGATTGTTGAGGAGGGTGGGCGGTGGATGCTTGCAGGGGATTTCAATGCTGTTAGGAGTATGGACGAAAGAAGGGGAAAAACAGGGGAGAGTGCCGATATGAAGGATTTTGATCTTTTTATAGAGACGGCACGGCTAGTTGATAGCAAGTTGATAAATCGAAAGTTTACATGGTACAGACCAGATGGCACAGCAATGAGCAGATTAGACAGGATATTGATGACTGTGGAAATGAGCAGTATGGGTGGTGAATGGGTGCAACAAGGGTTGAAAAGAAATATATCGGACCACTGTGCGATTGTTTTGAAAACAAGGACAACAGATTGGGGTCCCAAACTGTTTCGAGTTCTAGATGCATGGCAACATCACCCGGAGTTTAGAAAAGTTGTTGAAGACAAATGGAATGAACTGGTGGTGGATGGATTTGCAGGTTACAAATGTCTTCAGAAATTAAAAATGTTGAAGCAATTTCTGAAGAGTTGGAATCAGGATGTCTTTGGGGATCTAGAATCTCAGTTTCAACATGCAGCGAGCACTGTAGCAGAACTTGATATGAAGAACGAAAAGGTGGCATTAGAAGAGGAAGAATTGGAAGAACGACGGCAAGGATTCCAAGCACTTTGGGATATTATGAGGAAAAAGGAATCCATTTGGAAGCAAAAATCAAGATCCAATTGGGCAAAATGGGGGGATGCAAATTCGAGATACTTCCACCAAATTGCAAATGGGAGAAAGGCTCATAACAACATTGTTGGCATTTCGTGTGATGGCAGGTGGATTGAAGAGCCAGAGGTGATAAAGAGAGAGGTGGTTGGGTATTTTCAAAGGGTATTTGCCAATGACTCACGAAATCGTCCAAAGCCCGTTGGAATTGGGTTTAGAAGGATCTCTCAAGAGATGACAGAATGGTTAGAAAGACCATTCTCGACGGAAGAAATCGAGGAAAGGTTAAAGAGTTGTGAGGGAACAAAAGCACTGGGGCCGGATGGATATAATTTTAGTTTAATCAAGTATGCTTGGGGTTGTATGAAGGAGGACTTTGTGAGATTTTTTGAGGAGTTCTACCAGAATGGCAGGTTAGTAAAAGGGTTAAACTCTTCCTTCTTAACGTTAATTCCTAAGAAGATGAATCCCATGGAACTAAAAGATTTTAGACCTATTAGCTTAGTTGGTTGTGTATATAAGTTACTGGCAAAAGTGTTGGCTAATAGGCTGCGGGTGGTAATGCCGGAGATCATTAGTGATTCTCAATCTGCGTTTTGGGAGGCCATCAACTTGTTGACAGTGTGTTAGTCTTAAATGAGGTGGTGGAAGAGGTTAAGCAGCGTAAGCAATAAGCTTTTATCTTCAAAGCTGATTTCGAAAAGGCGTACGACTGCGTAGATTGGTCGTATTTAGATTGGATGATGAGCAGATTTGGTTTTGGCGGGAAGTGGCAAGGTGGATCCGAGAATGCCTTTCAACTGCTCGAGTCTCAGTTCTGGTTAATGGAAGCCCAACAGAGGAGTTTGTAATGGGGAAAGGATTACGGCAGGGGGATCCGTTATCTCCGTTTCTTTTTCTCATGGTGGCTGAGGGTCTGCATGGACTAGTCAAAAAAGCAGAAGAGGAGGGATTGTTACAAGGCATCACGGTGGGTAATAATGGCTTAGCTATTTCTTTTCTACAATTCGCGGATGATACAGTGATATTGGGGAAAGCTAATAGTGAGAGTACTTTTACAGTTAAAACCATTTTGAGATGGTTTGAGTTGATGTCTGGGTTGCGGATAAATTATGGAAAAAGTAGTGTCTTTGGTTTCAACGTGGCTTCTCGGTGGATTAAAGGGGCAGCAAGTGCTCTCCATTGTGGTGTTGGGGAAACACCCTTTATGTATCTAGGTATGCCGGTTGGGGGGAAGAGTGGGAGCAAGAAGATGTGGGATCCAGTTCTGCATAAATTTCAAGCTAAGTTGGCTGTCTGGAAGTCTGCTGTGCTGTCTGCTGGTGGTCGCATCACTTTACTCAACTCGGTACTCTCTACAACTCCCATTTTTTATATGTCTTTGTTTTTAATGCCAAATTGGGTAGTGAAAAGGTTGATTAGTATTCAAAGGGCTTTTTTGTGGGGAGGGATGGAATTGAACAGGAAGATTTCATGGGTTAAGTGGGATTATGTGTGTACTAGTAAGAAGAAATGAGGTCTAGGGGTGCCAGATTTGCGTCGGAAAAATTGGGCATTGTTAGGGAAGTGGTGGTCTAGATTAGGGGATGGAGCGGAGGGCTTGTGGAAACAGGTGGTATGGGAGAGGTATTATGGTGGAAGGGAGGAAGTGGATATCACAGCAGTGAATACAGTTAGGGTGTCTAGGCTGTGGAGGGATGTTCTGAGTATAGGGTTGCGATCAGATGGTTTGAAGAATATGCTGGTGAAGGGTTTTAGATGGGGGGTGGGAGATGGAAGTAGGGTGGATTTTTGGAAAGAGGTTTGGGTGGGGGAGAAGACTTTGAGGGATTTGTGTCCTAGCCTTTTCCAATTGGCGCTTCATAAGGATGGTTTAGTTAGTGAGATGGGGGTTTGGGAGGAAGGTAGTTGGAAATGGAGGATTGGTTAGAGAAGAGGGAGACGGGGAAGAGAGAAGGATGAGGAGGTGTTGTTGTGGGAGATCCTGGGTAAAGTTCAACTTAAGGAAGGTGTTAAGGATTGTTGGCAGTGGGTGCATGTTCCTGATGGCAAGTTTAGGGTGAGACACGCGTATGAGTTCTTGGAATCTACGAATTACATTCTTAATGAACAATTATGTAAATTAATTTGGTGTCGGTTAGTGCCTTCGAAAGTTAGTTTTTTTGGGTGGAGATTATGTCTTGAGCGTCTTCCCACTAAGTTTAGCTTACAAAAAAGAGGTGTGGGTTTGGATGGGGGTTTAAGGTGTGGGTTGTGTGATGGGGAAGTGGAAGAGTGTAATCATGTTTTTTGTACATGTTCGGAAGCTTGGTTAATTTGGACTAAGGTGCTGCATTGGTGGGGTATGGAGGCTGTAATGCCGAATAGAGTGGGGGGAATAATGGATTTGTTTGCATACGGGCTGGGTAGGGTGATAGGGAAGGAATTGGGGGCTTGCATTTTTCTTTTTACTGCATGGTATATATGGTTTTGGAGGAATTGTAGAGTTTTTAAGGGAAATGGGGTATCAAGGGATGAGTTATTGGAAATGATTCAGGCTAAGATTTTTTTCTGGGTAAAAAATAAAGTGCAAGGATGTGTTTTCTCTTTTTGGGATTGGAAGCTCAACCCGTTGGAAATTGCTGCAGAAATAAGAAATAATAGAAGGCTGATGTGGGAGTTCCATTTGAACCAAAAGGGAAGGGTATAATGGGGCTGCTGGGTGGGTCATTGTCCAGCATGTACCGGATGTTGGCCTACTTTTGTGAGTCTCAATTCTGCAGTTTGTAGCCTAGTTTGTGTATATGGGTTAGAGTACCCCTTGTACTCTGTATTAATATCATTCTATTCATTTTGCTGATAAAAAAAAAAAAAAAACTATAAGTATGCAAGCATTCAAGTGCATGACATACACTTACACATAATCAAATATCATCAAAATTATCCATCAAGAAGCAAACATATAAATCCTTCCAAGTGTAAGATGCTTCTTAAGATCATGCTTAACTTCTAAGTGCTATCATTAAAATTATGAAATTAATGAGACAAGTAAATTTGAATGAGACAAACAATGTAAAGTAAGACAAGTTATTAAAATTACTCATTTAAATCAAATCATCAACCATCTTCAAAGTGACGCATTTGACGTTGAAAATCACTTATACCATCAAGAGCTCATTATGAACTGTATATGATAGATAATTAATTTAATCATTCACATATGTCAAGAATGTAAATATGATACAAGTAATATCTATAGCAATCAACAAGGTTGTATCAACACTAGAAAAGACACATCAAATGAAATCATACTCAACAAGCATATGTATCAAAGAGTAAGCACACATAAACAAATAATTACCAGTCATGTTAATGTAATTATACTTAATAAATAAATGCAATAAGATAAATAATACCATTTGAGCACATGAGTGGAGCATTCAAAAACAAATTTTTTTTTTTTTGTACTTTGACTCCAACATTCTTGTTGAGGCATAAGTCTTTATCAAGATCAACTTTGCTCTTCTTATGACTTTGCCATCAACTTTACCTACAAAACAAAATTAAGTTTTAATTTTTGCTACCCAAATTTGCTTGGATCCTTGGGAGTTAGTGCTTAAGGTTCCTTTTGGAACCCAAATTTGCTTCACTTTGCCTTGAGCTATCAATCTCTTCAGAGGACATACATAAGCAAAATGTCCTTTTGCACCACAACAACAGTAAGTAACTTTAGAATAGGAGAATTGATTTACCCTCACAAAGAAGTTCTTAAAAGTCTTTTGCTTTTTAGAATAATCAAATCTAATACCTCCTTTGTCATAAACTCTTCTTTGAGATTTTAAGATAGAATCAAATTTTTCTTTACTTAAGGTAAATTTAGAAATCATATTTTCAAGATCACAAGCTTTTCTCTTTAAAACCTCATTTTCCTTCTTTAAATCCTCATTTCTTTAAAGATGCAATTTCACCATTTAAAGAGGCATTTTCTTTAACTAAAACCTCATTTTGTTTTGAAAGAGATTCAATCTCATTTTTAAGCAATGAAATGGTTTTAGTAAGAGCAAGATTCTCATTTCCTAGTTTCTTGATATCATTCATAGAGCAATCAAGAACTTTGCATAAATCATCATAAGAATACTCAAAGGAACTTTCATTAATTGAACTAGAGAAGTTGGAGTTTACCTCTTCATCATTGTTGCTATCCTCTTGAGCCATGAAGCAAAGATTTTGCAATACCATTCTCCAAGGAGCTTTCACTTTCCGTTGAGCTAGTCTCATCATTGCTCCAAGTGGTGGTAAAAGCTTTCTTCTTCATGCTCTTCTTGTTTTTCCTTTCACCCTTCTTCAATTAAGGGCATTCATTTCTAAAATGCCCCATCTTGTTGCACTCATAGCATTTGATATACTTCTTGCTTGGCTTTCCTCTATCATCATCATCACTACATATTCTTCCTCTAGAATAGTGAATTTCCTTGTTTCTTCTAGAGGATGTCCCTTGGAGGCTCTTTTTCATATATTTCTTCACTTCCTTTGAAACCAATTTGGTGATGTCCTCCTCATTGATAGACTCATCATTACTAGCATCATCTTCACTCTCTTCCTTTTGGTTGCTAGCCTTGAAAGCAACATTCTTCTTCTTCTTCTCAACTATTTCAACTCCACAATCAACTTGAACTTCTATTTCATATGTCATCAATTTTCCAATGAGATCTTCAAGCTTGAGAGTGTTGAGATCCTTAGACTTTTCAATTGTGGTCTTCTTGGCTTCCCAATTCTTGGGCAAGCTTCTAAGAACCTTCCTCACCACTTCTTGAGAAGGATAGACTTTACCAAGAGCCTTGAGATTGGTGACTATATCATTCAATATTGTATACATATCTTGAATGCTCTCCTCCGGTTTCATCTTGAAAAGCTAATACATGTAAATGAGTCTATTGATTTTTGACTCCTTCACTTGGCTTGTTCCTTCATGTGTTACCTCCAACATGTCCCACATCTCCTTAACCGTATCACACCCGGAAACTCTATGGAATTCCGTTGGATTAAGAGCACATTAAAGCATGTTGATTGCTTTGTTGTTGATCATGATCTTTTCCAAGTCTTCATCATTCCATTCAACTTCTTCCTTTGGCACCTCTCTTTCTCCAACAACTTTCATAGGTACATATGGACCTTTCATAGTCACAATCCATGCCTTGGGCACATTTGCAAGCATGAAGACCTTCATCCTTTTCTTCCAATAATTATAATTAGTACCATCAAAGAAAGGAGGCTTAGTGGTAGACAAATCTTCAAGTGGTTGAGAAACTTGAAATTGAGCCATCCCCGATCAACTCCCAGGTGTTTAAACCTTCAAATTGGAGCCCTTGCTCTGATACCAATTGTTGACTCAATGTACTCCAAGAGGGGGGGTGAATTGGAGTTGAAAAATATTCACCTCTTTGCAACCACCAAACAAAAATCAAAAAGAGAGTAGGGAAGAAGAGCTTGCACAATGATTTTATAGAGTTTCGATCCAACCACTTGGAACCTAGTCCTCTACCTTTGCTTCACTCACCAAGGATTTCCTCCACACTCTCCACTAACAAAATCAAGGGTGGCTTAAAGGAGCCACTCCATCCTTTTATAAGAAGAATGATGTTTCTCTCAAATCTCACCCTTTTACAAGATAAACCCAAACAATCCTCTCTACAAATCTTTTTGAAGGAATAATCACACCCCCAAGATCACTCACAAATAGAACAAGAAGAGGATTACAAGTAAAGATCTCTCAAAGATCAAATACTCAAGTTAATGCACAAGTTGGTAGATAGAGATATTCAATACAAAGCTCTTCAAACTTGTTCCAGATCTGCTACCAATCATATTTATAGCCCCTTGCTCGAAAATAGTCGTTTCTAGCCGTTGGGGGTCATTAAATGCTCTGTAGGTCGCTTAATTCAAATTGCAGAATTGTCAGCTCAACCGGTTTAAACTTCTAGAGCCGGCTCTATACAGTTGGCTTACCATTTTTGCAACCAGCTTTGTGGGTTTCCTACATTCTATTTTCTCCATAGAGCCAGCTTAAAAATTCTGTAGCTGGCTTTGCGGGTTTCCAACACATTCTATTTTCTTACACAGCCAACTGCAAAGTCTAAAGCCAACTTAAGGATTCCAACTTTAAAAACATTAAATAATCTTCAAATCACTCGACCATTGTGCATTAAATGCATTCTCACAGCCGGCTGCAAAGTCAAAGCTAGCTTTGTGTCTGTTTTCCGCGCGCGCCAAACAATGGACTTGAAAGTTTCACTTGTGAAGCCAGCTGCAGCTTCTAAAGTCGGCTCTCTGCACTTCTACAGTTGGCTGCAAGTTTCAACAGCCGGCTCTCTGCACATTTTCAAGCCTTTTGGTCCATTTTTAGTGCAGTTCAAGTTTACTTACTTTGCAATCTTTTGACATTTTAACTACACACTTAAATGAACCAATTAGTCACTCAAATGTGTTTTGTAATCATCAAAATCATAGGTACAATAATAAAATGGTTAGATTTTTATTTTAGGGGTTTTAATAGTCTACCAAATGGGTTTGGTCGAAGTGGAGAGGAAGAAAAGGGTAGTTGAACATGAGTGTACCTTCTGTGTTCATAATTTTTTATTTAGTTGGACTTGGTTGTTGTTTCAATGGAATTTAACTATTGGGTATTCATATTTGTTTACTATATGGATTAGTTAAACTCTATTCAATTATTATTTGAGTAATCATAAATGTTTCATATTATTTGATGTCAATACTCAAATTAAGTAGGAATTAAAATTTCCTCAATGAAAACTTAGTAAGCTTCCCATACTAATATGATGCTTTTACAATTTTGAGCATTATTTTGTGCGCTTTGAATATATAATTATTTCTAATTTGGCATTTTGATTAATTAAATTGTTTTTGTATAATTATGTAATGTCAGTCTTTAAGAGGAAGATTGGAAACCTTTTTTTGGGAGGATAGTCTCACCTGCAAAAGGAGCAGTATAAATTATAATGACCTACTCAAGCAATTTTGTCATATTTGAATTTTTGTATAAGGGATAATAGAATTTGATAAGATTAAGTGAATTTTTGTTTATGTATTACTATAATATAAGAATGCAATATATATTGTAATTGTTGACTCAATGCACTCCAAGAGGGGGGGTGAATTGGAGTTGGAGAATTTTCGCCTCTTTACAACCACCAAACAAAAATTAAAGAGAGAGTTGAGAAGAAGAGATTGCACAATGATTTTATAGAAGTTCGGTCCAACCACTTTGAACCTAGTCCTCTACCTTGGCTTCACTCACCAAGGATTTCCTCCACACTCTCCACTAGCAAAAACAAT